TGTTCAGCTCAGTGGGTCCAGACAGATGGATGGGCTCTTATAGCAACTCTAATACAAACAATGTCATCGCGCTCACACACACACAAACTTTATATGTAATGTTTTCAAGGGATGTAATAGTTATAGGATCAATGATATCAAGATTGCAATTCTCACATATTCCAAAACTACAGTTGTTTGTTTGGTTGTTTGTTTGACAAGTGGGGCTGAATTTGTGGCCATATTTGATACTCTTTATATTGGCTTCACCAGTCTACCACACTAGTGTTGGTGAAGTCTAATTTGTTAGTAATTAGTAATTATTTACTATATAATTATTGATTCAGTTTTTTTATGCTCTTGCTTTTATAAGTACAACAGCAAGTGCTCTGAGCACTCTGCAAAAGGCCAAATGGGGTTGAGAAATAACTATATTTACAAGTGTTATACTGTGTGAACTCGACACAGATGGTGAGGCTAAAACAGGCATTTGGAGGAACATACTCAGGGTTTGTCTGTACTTCCTGCAGCTGTTGGCATCATTTTGTTGTATTTCATAACAGGAGACTTGGACAGCAGGAACTATCCATAATATAATCAATCATCCAAAATATGAGCTGCCTCTGACATATACGAAAATGATATACAAAATCAGGTGACCTCTGTATAAAAAATAGCTTAAAAAGATGAAATGGAAAACAGTGGCCTCCTCTGCCCTTTAATTGATGAGTTATTAAAATCTTAATTTCTTCGAGACCTAGTTCTATCGGAGAGATGGATGACCAGGATATTAACAGTCACATTCACATACAGCAAAATTAAAAGACAAAAGCTGAATCAGTCTGTGCTCTTGCAGAGAGCATTTGCTGTGCTTTAGAGAAACTTTACTCATTTGATAAGAACAAACATGTCTGTCAAAGAGCCCACACGTGTCAGTGAGATCTAAGACTGTACAGGTACCAGATAATCAGTCAAAGGAAATGTCCACTCTGAGGTAGAACCAAACCAGTAGAGATGCTCATTAATCGTACCATTGGAAATCAATTTACATGAGCAGAGCATGGCCAGAGTCAACATTTACTTTCACTTGACTCACTTAGTACAAAAAGACCCTGCAGAGAGAGGTACGAAGAGAAAAGTGATCTCATCCACTAGACATGTAAATAATTAGTAACAGGTCATTTTGTATGTACTTCAAATATCATTCCCATAAAACAAAAATGTCATACCTTGATAAAGCAATGATAATTGGTTATACATTTTATACATTTTGAATAAAAAAATATATATATATATATATCATCTGGTGTAATACAGAGCAAGATCTAAATTTTTTATTTATTTTTTTAACAAGTCTAACCCAAAACACTTAAATAGAAATGTCAAGACTTCAGCATGTGCTCAAAGGAAAAGGTCAGCTGATTACTGCACCATTTAATTTCATTTATTCAAATTTTCTTGCCGGATGGGCCAGGCTAGGCAAGGTATACTCCAACTAATACACCAAGATGACGATGCCATGTTCAGGAGGCTCAAATCGTGAATTTGTGGTTTAGTGAAAATTAGTCTTAATTTTCATAGACATTGACCACTACAAAGCTGGAAGACATTGCCTGGCTCTAAATTATTTTGTTGTAGCAAATCATAAGATTCAGCAAAATTAGCATTGATATTCATCCTAAATTGCAGTTATTTTTTACCATTTTGTATTGCTGATGCCTGAACTACTGCAATTGTCTTCCCCAGCACATTCTAAAGTTTCTCAGTGGGGTTGGAGTCTGACAATGGACACCAGACACGTTCAAACGTTTCTGAGAATGCAGTAATTATCCAAAAGGGAGCATTTTACTCTTTGCTTTGTGAACTGTATGCATTTTTATTGTCCAGAAACATTAAGGATTTAAATGAAACCATGAACCATCTACATTTTTGTTTATACATTTAAAAAAAAAAGACTAAAAACAAGTGAAAAAGCAGGTAATGGGAGGATATGTTGGGACTTGTAAGACACCTATATGATAATGCACCTCATCTCACTCCTACACAGGTTATTACGCCTCAATTGCAAAGTGTTTGAGTGAGCACTCAGCTCTGTCCCACCGGAGGAGAGGAGATCATGTGCATCTGGTACAACCCCCATGCATCACACATTAATGCACCTTATCTGAGCTGAGGTTTTGTAAGGGAACTACATAGTCTTCAGTTTCATTGGAGACATGCAATGCTCTGCAAAGTAAAACATTTCTTCAGATGCAAAAGAACCAAATTAAATGACAGAAAATTAAACACCAAAACTCATTTGGACTTCATGGCACAAAAAAAATGACAGGTTTTAGAAAAAATATGAATCGCAAATTACACCCAGAAATAGAGTTTTTGCAATCTATTTGGAAAAGGTTAAGATAAAAAGGGGGGAAAAAACATTGTAGATTATTCAATTGTGTTTATTTAAACTTTAAGACCAAACTTCTATATTGACTTTTATAAACTAACTGGCAAACAGTTTATAAGACTGACTAAAAGCCCTAGCATTTGAAGACAAACCCAAAAAGAATATATAATTGTATCTATACATACAGCAATTTGCAGGTGCTTCTTTAGACTAGTGGACTGATGGAAGAGCACGCTGGTTTGATCCACAGCTCTCGGCCTCACAGAGCAAGTGCTTTGGCAACAATGTCACCTGTGCCATATATTTCATCCATAACCTCATTAAAACGTTGCTCCTCCTTCCCCTCTCATTGGCATGCTGTTTAAATAAACACTGTGTAAAATGTCTAACAACATGGACCCCGGGCCATAAAGCACCCCGCTCTCATTGATTATGGCGTAATAGCCGCATAGATTAATGCGCTTCTCGGGGGTTCACGCCTCAATAATGAATCTGAATCACTCAGAGAGACACAGTAAGTACAACAGCCTGTATATAACCTGCATTTATACATGGACTCATTTTTCACACACCAATTACCGGTTAGTCCAACAAATGCAATGCAGGCGGGTGCTTTTGTGCTGGTCAATTTCTTCAAAGTGCAAAAATATTATTCAAGCCAAATTCTGACATTTACATTAGAACATATTTTACAAGCAAGTATATGTATAATAAGTAAGTATGCTTTTGTGGAAATGAGGTACAAACACAATTACAGCTGCTTACTGCTCAGTAGCACCAAATAGAACAAGAATACTGTGTAACTAATGCAACTGTTATTGTAGTAATAACAATAGCGTTAAGGAGTAGTAAGAAGTAGTAGTTTCTAGACACACTGTAGGGAGGATGAATCAAATTTTAATTACTTCTACAAGAAAAGTTTATTTAAAATGAACATTCGTTTTACTCAAACTGATAATTGAGGGACACATCTGTATACATGTTCTGCTGCTTCTTCCCCCCATTCTGAGATGCCTGACACTGGGGATGGATCAGTCAAACTTGTCATATTGTAAGGATGTAAGATGAAGCGAGAGAGGCAGATTGGGACAGTGCAATGGTCCAAACAGAGAGGAGGAATGAATTACTGTCTACTATGTATGTGTGTGTGTTGGAGGGATGCATCAGGAGGATATATTGCACGGTAAGACGGAAGCGGTGATGGAGCAGGGCTTTCAGAGCTCACACACTCAATATCTCCCACCACGGGTAATGTGCAACACTTTGCCATTAAATATTCACAATCTGCATTCAACCAGGTGAACTTGCGCACCTATGATCAGACACGCACATAGTTTGTGTTATGAAAATCTGTACAAATACTTGCTTGGCTATTTTAGATACTAATGAAAGATTACATCATAAGGGCAGGTCCCAATCTCAGCCTATTGAGTCATGATATAATGATGTAGCTACAGCTCAGATTCTCCATAAGAGTAGTTTGTGACTTGTTCCATAGAATTAAGCCTATAATAGTGGGCAATAACATGTCCCACATGCACAATCATTCAGTGTTTATGAGGCTGACAGTTGTGCCTTCAGTTGAAAACCTCTGGGAAATAAAACGCAACAGTGCAAGAGCAATTTTATTGTAATCCATTAGTTGTGAATCTACGATCAATTTACATATAACGCCAGCTAAACGATGACCTAATGTTGTGACCGTGTGTGACTTACCTGGCTGTTAATGCACAGGGCAAGGTGCTTCCTTTCCCGGGATGCAGCCACGTTCCCACTGCGCAGCCTCGCCTCCTCTCCCTGGTACATGCTTCTGGAAACGACACAGCTCAAGTTAGACACTCATCCAAAATGCCAAATAATGTGTGAGCGCGCGAACTGCGTGTGCTTACGGTAATGCTTGTAGCCTAATAGCACCACACAGGACATGCAGCTGTACTGTAGCAGGCAATCAGGAACATATAAGTCTGTCCCTTGAAGAATAAACGCGTTGGACTTGCAATTGTGGCATAGGATGATGTGCAGATGTCTCACTTACCTGTATGCGCCGTTTCGCAGCATGACAAGCTCCGTCTCCTCGCTCAGACAAGGATGAAGCGAGCAGTCCTCAGCAGCCGGAGAGGGGAGCTCACTCTCGAGCGTTCTGCAGCCAATGGGAAGCGGAGCGTGCGCGCGTTTTTTAGGTGTCGTCAAACTTAGTAACGCTGTAGTAGTGTCTATGGATTGGATTCTAGATACCAGTAACACAATATTACCTTTTAAACCACGTAAAGTAAGAACTAGTTTCATTTGCATTTTTGCTCCTCAACATTTAAGTCATTTCCGTCCTTCGGGGCTATGATGATATGTAGCCAATAGAAACGCAGCCATTGAAAGCATGTCTTGTTTGTCTGCATATTTACTTTTACTTTGTATGGCAAATATGATTATATAATGGCTGACATTAAACAGGTGTGAGCAGGGGTGCATGGGAGCCATGGGACAGAAGGAGAGGCCATTTGGAATTCTAGTCCTTTCTTTGTGGTTCCTCCCCAGTGCGTACACGCACTGTTCCACTTTGATTAAACCAGCATTGTTGGATTTAAAACAGAACTCTTTGTGGTATTTTAGAGGTACTCTGATCGACTCATGAATGGAGGATCCCCGAATATGCCCCGTGAAAAGCTTTTACCAGCGAATCCTTCTCCCTGTGGCCTACAGTATGGTTTTCTTTTTGGGGTTTGGTTTGAATGTGAGGCTGCTGTGGTGCGTATTTTTGCAGAATCGTCGCAGAAGCAATATGATTATTTACTTAAGTAATCTGGCCGTTGCTGACTTATTGTACGTGCTATCCTTACCCCCACTCATCAGTAACTCCATGGGGGACCTATGGCCATTTGGAGACATCTCATGTAAGGCAACGCGCTTTTTATTTTTCGTCAACCTGCACAGCAGCATGCTGTTCCTGGCCTGCGTCAGCGCGCACCGCTTTATTGGAGTCTGCTATCCGCTGAAAGCTGTCCGCACCAAGACCAGAAAGTTTGCCTTTTTTGCGTCAGCCTCTCTCTGGGTTTTGGCGATTGTGGAGATTTTACCCACTTTTTACTTTTCTCACACTGGCAGCATTAATAACATAACTGTGTGCTTTGAGATGGTGAGCCCGGGACAATTTCAAATGTATTTTCCTTATGGGCTTTTTCTGGTCATAGTGGCCTTTCTAATTCCATTTATGGTTGTTGTTGTCTGCTACTGCTCTGTGTTAAGAGTTCTTTACAAAGGAGCAACTCAACACCTAAATGGTATCTCCAAGACCGTAGACAGGGATTGGCGCAACAAGTCTTTGCGCACATTGCTTCTTGTGTGTCTCCTTTTTTTGATTTGCTTCCTTCCTTATCACGTTGCTCGAACGATCTACATGTTTGTGAGGGTCTTCCAACCTGGAAACTGTCAGCTTCTCAACACTGTCATGATCTCCTATAAGGTATGGAAGCCCGTGGTCAGTCTGAACTGCTGCATAAACCCTCTGCTCTACTTCTGGAGCTCTGGATGCAATCGAAAATGCCTGAGGGCCTGCCTGTGGAGGGACGGAAGAGTGCAACCTGGCGTGTGCGTGCTGGACACTGGTATCAGATCTTAGGAAAAAAAAAAAAAGTGTTATATTTATTTATTCAGATATTCAGTCTATTAAAAAAGCCGTTTAAAGTGTTTCTCGTCTTAAATCAAATATTTACCCATCTATTTAAAACCCAACAAAAATCAATATTGTGTCCAGGAGTGAATCATTCAAGGCAAATGCTGCCCTCTTTCGTTTAACTGTGGTAGTGCACCTCTTCGCGGAAAGCCTTTGTGAAATTATGTAAAGTGCACATGATAAATAAAATGTCTTTTGGGTAAAATACTAAACAATGTCTTTCACATAAGTGGGCTTTAAAAAGGTAAATGTAAAAAAAATAAAAATAAAATGTGTGGTGCCTGTGCTTCTGATGTGCCAAAGACCTCATTTGAGAACACTTCTGTGGGCAAGTGATGACAGGTGAGTAGAACAGTGGTCTGGGATCTGGGAAAACAAAGAAACAAACACATTATTGCCATGGAGGTCACAGCAATCATGCATACATGTATTTAAAAAAGTGTTGTCAACACAAATTAAAATTTATTATTTATTTATTTGTAAACTAAAGAGATATTCATTTGTGTGCATGTACAGTGTATACCTCAGCTCCCAGTCTGGAGAGGTAGCGATTCCGTAAGCGACAAGCTGTCATGGGAGTCAGCCTGGCAGATTCACCTAATGTCAGCTTACTCGGACGCCTTTTAATTCTAAACACAATGATGCCGAATAAAAGCAACATTACCATTAAAAAACAATACATGATTATGCAAAAATGTAAGGGGTTTATAAATAAAAATGCCATTGCAATTTAAATGTTTGCAAAGAACAATGCAAAAAAACACAGTTAAAAAGTACAACATTTAATAACACAGCATATTGTTCTTTTTTTAACAACGCATTTAAATGTCTATTTAAAAAGAAAAAAAAAAACACATAGCAAAAGTGACAACACACAGTGTGTGACCATACCCATAGTGTAGAAACGACGTATAATAATTTGATAGATAATACACTGTCCAAATGAGGTAGTAAACTGGCATTCTCAGTGAGTGTCAAAAACTCTGTTACTGGAATGATGAAGCCCCAGCTCTACTATGGGGGCAGTGCTTAACACACATGGGTTACCTGAGCTAAAAAGGGGAAATCTGTGCAATAAAGGCTATGCTGACATTTGAAGATTTTCATTCTCTCCAAATATATCATCAATGCAACAGAGAATTTCATAAAAAACTTAATATAAAAAAAAATCATGGCATTAGCTCCTAATGAAATGAATTCTTAATGTTAAAAACTGAGAATCAAAAGCAAAAACTTGTAAGACTACATAGTGGTCATTTAATTAATAACATAAAATGCTGATTGTTCAGCAATATTAGATTAAAAAAAAAAATTATATTGCTTAGAATAAGGCATATAAAGTGAACCACCAAGTACTAAAAGCTGCTAGCTTACAAAAACTTCAAGTGGGTAGTTGGCCCCTTCAGTTATGTAATGTAATTTGTAGCAGTGACAGTAAATTCCTTTGTCAAGTAAATCTGACGCAATATAGAAATCAATAAAATGTTTAAATTATCATAAAAGTACATAAAAAAAAAAAGAATGGGACAGTGATCAGAGTCGGTGGAAAAAGGTGATGTCAGAACTGAGTGCAGTCAGTGGTGCAATCCAGCCCCATGAGAGTAAATAGACCATGGGCTGGACACTGCTGCAGGCTGGCTCTGACACCCTGAAGCTAGTGTGTTCCCCCATCATCATCTAGAAGACATAACAACAGATGAGAAATTAGACTTCAGAAAATATCTACAAAAAAGAATAATAACAACTTACACCAACAATATGTATGTGCTTTTTCCCAAATATAAATAAAAATGCACACCACCATGTGAGCCCGAGACAAAAAGAGAAAAGAAAAAAACAAACAAAACAAAAAACAACAAAAAGTATACCTCTTGAGCTGATGATGTTGCCAAAATAAAAGTTCAAGGAAATATTTCCCATTCTCAGATTAGAGATTTTTATCAAACAGTAGTTTGATTTCATTCACACATTCATGTTTCCTCACTTCCACTGATAAGTGGTGATGTGTGACATGTGATTTACTGGTATTGATAATGTGGTCTTCCTATGCCAGACCCAAGGACGACAGCACCAGCACTCTGGAGACAGAAGTTGGACTGGAGCTAGGTGTAGGAAGACCACACCAAAACTTTATACACATAAGTGCTACAGAGTAATCCAACTTTATCCAATCCAATCCAATCCACTTTATTTATATAGCACAATTCATAAACAAACAGTTTCTAAAGTGATGCACAAATAAATAATAATAGTAATAATAAAATGACAACTATAATAAAATTATAAAATAAATGTTCAGATTTAATTATGCTAGTCTTAAAACAATAAAGCCAGTAAAATAAAATAAAAATAAATAAAAGACACAGAGGACCACACAACTCACGCAGTGTTAAAAGCCAGAGAATAAAAGTAGGTCTTAAAACGAGACTTAAAACATTCCACTGCGGGGGCTGTTCAGACGTGGGAGGGCAGAGCGTTCCAGAGCTTGGGTCCGGCCACAGAGAAGGCCCTGTCCCCCCTGGTTTTAAGTCTCGTTTTAGGCACCACAAGCTGTAACTGGCCCTCGGACCTCAAAGCATACATGTTATACATGTTATAGTAATCCACTACAGAGTTAGAGGAAGGTGTACTCACTCAGAGTGTGAAGTAGCTTCTTTCTGAAGTCTGGCTCTGTCAGCAGCTGAGCGGTTTAAATCTCCCCCTTTTGAACAAATTATTTAGGAATTATCAAAACTAAAGTTGCCATTTTAAGTATTTTTACTAACAGATCTCATTCAGATTTAACTTACCTTTGAGGTAATCCACAAAGTACAACATCACCACAGCCATTAGTGCAACTATAAAATAAAGGGACTTTAAAAACAGATCTATTGTTATTAACAACCAATGTATCATAAACAAAAATTAAACACTAACTGCATATGCAGGCACAGAAAAATACTTCTAAAACCAGGTAGCCTCTGTTGTCAAGTATGGCCCCTGCTGCCATGGCAATGAGAGCCAGTCCCAGATTCTGGATCGACTGCATACTAAAAATAGAAATTGATGAACATATAGTGAATGACAATAGTACTGCTATGTTCATTTAAAGTGGCAATGAAAAACTTCTCACAAGCCATAAGCTGTACCCAGCTGATGCTCAGGGACCACAAATGCCACCATAGGCCACAGAGCACATGCCAGTAATGAGTAGGACACTCCCAATAAGGACTGCAAAACAAAGGCACTTCACATTAGGTCAGGTTGATGGTTGAAAAATAAAGTTATATATTTTGTTTATAGCTGTATAGCAAATAATACATAATCTACAGCCATCATTCACATTGGCTTTATCTAATTATAAAAATGAAAGGTCTAAAATCTAAGATTAGTTGTAACTACCATGGCGATCCATGGATTCCAAAAAGTGAAGGCCAGCATCATGTGGGCAGCTAGTGTTGTCACTACAGCACACATCACCCATATCACGTTCCTCCCAATCTTATCGACCATAAAGCCCAGTACTGGTGACGCTGGAGCCGAAATGATGTACACAATACTAGAGGAGAAAAATTATAATTCATCTAATAACCATCAGACAAATTTCACCAATACACAGTGCATATTTAATAAAGGGATGTTATTAGGCAAGTCACCTGTTGACGGCTCTGGCATTAGCTGGAGAAAAGTTGAATTTTTCAATAAAGAATACTCTGAAGAGAAAAAGAGAATGTACAATGTGACTCATAGATAAATATTGATTAAAAAAAGTTACTGGTAAAGTCAGAGGGTTTGTAGATACGGATTTGTAGCAGGTGGCTGTGTATGTCAGTATTTACACAATTATTAGCTAAGCAGGAATGGAAAAATACCCCAGTCACTAAGTGACATAAAAATGTCTTTTATCAAAGCAAAACATATCATGATATGTCAAATGTATTTAATTTCCTTCCACTCATTTTAAGGCATTCTGAGTGCCCCTGCTTAATACAGTGTTATAGGGAATATTAGTGTTCAGCAGTTGAACCTTTAACTTAACATTCTATAGATATAAGTATACAGGATGGTAGGAATGGTCAATCAAATGACAGCGGCTTAGTTCACATGCTCACCAAAATCTGACTTATCTGATTTCCGGACATTCAAGATTGTTTAAATGACGCATAAATTACAAAATCTGATGTGCAATAGCGGGGGGGCATGATTTTTAAAAAATGATGATTTCGTGGTTTACATGTGATTTTAATAATCGAATAAGTGTAGAGTGACTGCTTCATAACCTTTTCCAGACTTAAAACAGAGCCAATTTTAAGCCAAAGAGTCAGATTTCTAAACCTAAGTACAGTACAAATGAGTGTACCACTCCTCAATACTTACTGTCCCAGTCCAATAAAGGGGAATATTGCCACGTAGTATCCCACACAAATAATGAAGATGAGCCACAGGCAGAGAGGGAAGTCTTTAACATCTGTCAGTTTAATGACCTCTCCTAAGAAACAAATGGGTAGATGCTAATAGTAAGATACCAGTATAAAAGGAATATGGACGGTAGTGAAAGGTAGTGAAAGTAGAAGTTAAGACATAGTTTATGAAAATATGTCACCTGTCTTGCCCTGCTCCTTGTGGAGGATTTTCTCTGCTCGTTTGTCGAGGAATCCCAAAACCAACGCACAGATTAGAGAGAACAGGCATGTTGAAGCAGCTTGAAAAAAACAAAAATTTGGTTGTTATGCACATTAAAACTGAGGCAGCCAGTGGAACAAATGTCAGCATATTTGAAAAAAACCCAATAATATTTTGAAGAAGTGATTCTCATCTTTGTGAGTGAGTCAGCTGCCACAGCTCACAACACTTCTGTTGGTTATCTGAGCTCATTTGTTTCAAATATAGAAAGCACTACAGTGCTACTGATGCAGTCATGAATCATATTCTATTTCATTTCTCACAGATTTGCATGAATACGAAACCCTACTGTATATTTTGCATAGCATATCAAGTCATATATATATATATATATATATATATATATATATATATATATAATAATGTTGCACCAAAAGGTCATCGTTTGTGAATTTTGTTCACCGACAATGGCAACAAATCCGATTCTGAAAAACTGCTATATTATATTATGCTGTACATTAATAGAGCCATTTGAGGCAGATATAGCTTTATGACAATGACTTACCGATCATCAATGAGACTCCCAGTGTAGTGTGTCCAGCAGCAACAGATTCACCAACTTTATTATAGACTGAGCCCATGATGTTCATGTTCACTGTGCTGCCCTTGAGACAAAAGACTAAGTTGGTATTTTGCTAGCATACAGTCCAATTGCTATCAGGTCTATGACTGCGATATCGTTATTTTTTTCTGATTCCTTACTTACAAGTCTAGCCATACTAAGCTGCAGGCCAAACACTAGATTAAGCTCCTTTCCTTTAAACCAGTTCACTGCATATGTGTTCTGAGCCACAGCCAGGGACTCGCCTCCAATCCTATAAAAAATCATTATAAAGACATTACTGTTCTGTTCCTTGTTTATAAAACCAGTATAACATTAATGAGGAACTTAAGAGCCTTGCTTGCTTACCCAAATATAAAACGCCCTGCTTCCATAAGCCAGAACTGTTTAACCAATCCTCCAATTGCAAATATTATCTGTGCAGGTGTAGAGACAAATCAAGTTGACACATCACCTATGGATTAAATTGCAACAGATGACTGGATGATTCATGCCTACCTGCCCACCAAAGACAAAGAGTGAAAATAGTATAGTCCCAAGTCTACAAGGAAAAACAAATATTATTATTAATTATATTCATCTCAATTTCAGTCTCTGCATGTTTTTGATGTAAATGCCTTACCTAATACCAAAAACCCTATCAAGAAGAAATCCTCCTAGAAAGCAAAGGACCACATTTGGCCAGGAGTACCATGCATAAAGCTGCATAAAGTCTGCGGTGTTCAGATCCATATCCTATTTTCAGAACAAATGTTAAGCCAAAGAGTGCTAAAAAACAAACAGGAAACGAGAGCATATTCAAAGGTTTTGTTGGTGAATGAAATATGAATTAGCCAACCTGAAGAAATTCGGTCTGAAGTGCTGCGGGGTTGTCATAACAGAAATAACTGCCTAAAACACATGATCAAGCAGAGATCGCACTTAATCTGATTTCATACACAATACAACAAAAGTTAGTGTTCCTCTGCTGAAGTTAATCTCACCAAATCCCAGGAAGCACATAAAGACCAAAACGACAATGCGATGCTGGAGACGGCTGGGGTCGCAGATAGCGGGAAGCGGGGTCCTCGTTTCCCCCTCGCCTTGTGTGTCTGGAGCCGGGTACTCTTCATCTTCTGCTCCCAACAGGCCCCGCTGTTCCTCCTCACACTCCGCCATGTTCGTTTTGTTTGGGATGTGCTCGGAGCGGTGAGGAAATCATATGACCCGCAGTCACGTGCACATGCAGCCAATAATGACGGAGAACTTGGCGGCATCATCGAGTGTGGGATGTGCAGATTATGCAGCGATAAAGTGAGTAAATAAACTAGTTCAACTGGGATTTTTTGCCTTGCCATTTAATAATCAAAGTTGGGTTTTGATATTTCTTTTTTCCCCCAGAAAATAAAGAGTTTGCCCATCACGGGTTTAATTAATAGACATATTTTATGGCAAATAACTTTCCAAACATACCATTGATCGTGGATCAAACGTGTATGTATAGTTTTTGTTCGTTATTACTATTTTTGGTCGAGTTACTGTACATGTAATTTTTACAAAACACTGCCGTATACTCGCTTATCCACTAGAGGGCCTTCTAGTGTTTCTATATGTCTTTTTTTAAATGTATTTATTTTTTTATTTTTTTTTTTTTTAATTTACATAATGAAATGTACATAACTCTCGATGGGAGATATCATTGCATTACATTTCCAATACAATAAAACTTAGAGCAAGGCCAGTCTATATAAGCCATTACATTCAGTGCACACACTGTCATTGCACAGTTTTAAGATTCAAAACATAAATATTTGGAGACACCATCACAAAGTAATTGTATGTCCTTGTCAGAGGAGTGACATAGTAGCAAAAATATGACTGTAATTCAAATTTAAACAACAAAAGAGACAGATTTTTTCCATCTACTTTAATGTATGTCATATTTACCAATAATTATTATTATATTGCAAAGTCTCAATATATTGTTTGGACATTTGTTTATACCATATAGTATTTGCTCCAATTTTAATTGAACAGTTACGACCATCTTAATATTCAACCAATTTATTATATTGTTCCAGAAATATTTTGTCCTGTCACAGGAGAAAAAGAGATGTTTGATTGTTTCCTCCTCTTGAGAGCAAAAGACACATGGCTCCACCTCAAAACCAAACCTTTTTTTTAAGCATCGTTGCTTTTGGATAGTAGCCATTTATGATTTTAATCTGCATTTCTTTTACTTTGGGGGGTATCAGCTATTTCATACATATTATATATGTATTGGTTATATTACCATCACCATGAACAATTTTTGAATTTCTGTCAAAATGATTAAATAATTTACCTTTTAATATTTTATTCATAGTTTTATAATTACATTTTTTATTATCTAAGGGAATCTGAGGCAATTTTAATTTAGGCAACATTAACTGTTCTTTTGAATAATGTAAATAGTTTTGTATCAAGTTTAATAATGCCGTGGGTATCGATTTGCCAACCTTTTTATACTCCCTATTAGAACTTTGTATATTAATTAATATGACAAAAATTTAATTTTTTCCATACCATTTTTGTATGAATAATGTTTTCCTATTTGATGTAATTGCTCTGTTGTTCCATAAGGTTGAGCCATGTGGCATAAAATTATGGGTAAATACCATCTTCCAATAATGGAGAATCTGTGGTATTCAGACAGTTTTATAGGTAACTTGGATACTTCAAAATCTAATTTTAAAAGAAATTCCAGACTACCTACTTGCTTAAAAACATTCTTGGGGATATTAAACCAAATAAATTCAGGTTGGGTTAAGAAAGCTTTTATCCAGTTTATTCTGAAAACACCCACCATAGATTAGAGTCAATTGTTTTTAACCCACCTTTGTTGTAGCCTTTGACAAGTTGTGATTTTTTTAATGTAATGAGTTTTATTGCCCACTCTGAATTGGTATATTACAGTATATATATATATATATTTTTTTTTTGATTAACCGTTAGTCCCACTATGCCTGGCAACTTACCATTCTTCATTTGTTTTAGAGCAGATTCAATTTCTGTTAGATTTAAATCCTCTTTTAGTAATAATTTATCTTCTTCTGACAATTTGGTTATGTTGTCTTTTATTGTATCCATAAAAGCATCACATTTGTCTTTTTGGTATTTTTTCTTGTGTAAATTCCCATAGAATTTACTTATTTCTTCCATTATTTGGGTTTGGTTCTGAGTAATGGTACAATTTTTACTTAATTTGGTTATATTTTTTCTTGATTGTCTTCTTTTTTCAAGACTGTAGAAATAAGATTTGAGTTTTTCTCCCCTCATTCAATCCATTTAGCTTTAGACCTTATCAAGGCGCCCTTTGCTTTCTCTAGATAGAGGTCGTCTAAATTGATTTTGAAGAGAGTGTAATACTTCTGTGTCTTTCCCAGTTAAATTGGGTTTCCAACAAAGTGATCTTATTTTTTCAACCAATTCTATTTGTTTAAGTTTTTGTGTATCAACAATTTTCTTTCCAGTTTCAATAGCTTGTTGCCTCACTTTAAGTTTAAACTAGAGCCCGACCGATATGGATTTTGTTGTGGCCGATATGATATACCGATATTATGGGAGTTGGAGCTGCCGATATAATCACTGATATATTTAGTGATGTAAAAATTCACTGTAAATCTTGAATTATTAAAAAAAAAACTAGGTTTGGCTCTGGTGGATTTTAAACTGGGTTTATTTAGGCAACATTTATTGTTATTCTGCCTCTTTACATGATATGTCTTAGGACTAAAGCAGGTCTAAAGCAGGACTAAACTAGAACTGAACCAGGACTGAAAAAGGACTAAACCAGGACTAAAACAGATCTAAACCATGTGTAAAACAGGACTAAACCAGAACTTAACCAGGACTGAGTGTTGGGACTCGGTCTCTATCTCTCTCCCTCTCTCGACCCCAAGATTAGTCCTGGTTTATATATTTTATGCTGAAAATATTTAAGCACCTTTTTTTTACTCTATGCACACGCATATTTTTGAAAGTTTCGTTTTCAACTGCTGCCGCTGTCAAACTACCACAGGCGGCGTGAAGAGAAAAAAAGTGAGAGAAAGAGAAAACAGGACTCCCAATCCCAATAAGGATCAGGCTCCCGTTGTTCGCTTCAAAGAGCCGCTTCGTTCGCGATCAACCCATCACTACTAGCCTAGCTAGTAAATAAACGATCGCTATTAGCCTTTAGGCGTAAATGCTGCGTGCCGCGGTAATTAATTATATGCGCAAATTTCATCATTCACACGTCTATTCACAGCTCATTTACATATCAGTACAGGTCCAGTAACAAATATACGGCCAATATAGTCACTTTACAATAGGCCAATAGAAAACAGCCTGTTTATGTGTGAGAGCGACAGCAGCTAATCGCTAACCTATCAGAACGAACCAAAACTAGCTTCGACATATTTCCAACACTTACCGCTCACACAGGCTCCTCCTCACATCACAAGTCTGCACTAATAAATGTCCTTTTAATCCAGACTCAAACCGATTGTCTGTAAAAAGAAAGTAATCTCAGTGTTGCACACATCGATCTTCGGGTGTAAACAAACACATGTGAGTGACGCGACTCTGCCGGTGTGTTCAGGGACGGACACACACACTGACAAATGACTCCACAGATAAATACTGATGTGGAGCCACATATTAGGACATTTATCTGTCTGTAAATTGGATTAAATGAACAGAATGTAGAGAGTCTAAGCTTTAAAACTAGGTATAACATGCCCACGTGAAATATCGGCCCCTATCAGCAAGCATATCGGCTGATAGCCGATGCTCATATCGGCCGATAATATCGACCAACCGATATATTGATCGGGCTTTAGTTTAAACCATTTCCTTTATATGTCTATCTGATATGCTGACAATGTGGCACCCATAAGTACTCTTGGTTACTAGACTGTGATTAATAATAAGAAACTAGAGTAGACTAGAGTTTAAATACAAATTGTATGTGGAAAAACAACACATAGAATGCACTAAACAACGAGAGAAGGGAAGATCAACAACAGTGAACATGAGGGTTTAACCCTGACAATTAAAACACCACATGTCATTACCACTTGTCACACGTACTAATGACACACATACATATACATATAAATATACATATACATATTCATATGCATATGCATGTACATGTACATGTACATGTACATATACAAATAAATATTCTTCATGTCATTTGTGATGACACGTGGTAACCCCAGATGGTCACAAAACAATAGGTTACAAGGTTCCTGTGGTTTGTTTGGTGTTTGTTTCACTTTCTGCACTGCATTAGGTGCATGCTCTGTCTTTTGTGCTATTTTGATCAGATAGGTATGATTAATGATTAATGAATATCTTATTAGATTATAGCTTCATTTAAGCCTGTTGTTTGTTCATAATTGTTGGCCATGTCCAAAGGAAACTCAAGTTTAACTAAGATTAGACAGAAGGAAGTAAAATAGCCATATCTGCAAGATATAGGAACAGGATGACTTGGAAAATGTGCAGAAGTGCTTTGTCAGTAGTCTTAATTTGTTCTGGTTAATACAAGTAATACTTAGCATAATTAAATTTCTGATACATTTACAAGATTAATTCTTTCAACTTTAAAATGTATACACTCTTATTTAAATGCACTGTGCAATAATATAATATTGCAAAACATGTTTGCAAGTTCATGACCTGCTCCATCAGAGTTGGTTTGTGTGTCTGTGGGCTGTTTGTGACATCTCCTGCTGAGTGGATGTGGCAGTGACTGAGTCCATGGTGCTTTGCTGCAGTGGCTTCTGGCGCAGAGTGGCCGTCAGTCTTCGTCTGAACATCTTACACAGAAACACATAGATGAGAGGGTCCAAACAGACATTTGTGGCTGAAAGCCACAGTGTCGTTTCCTTTGCAATATATAGGTAATTCTGTGCTTTACATGGACTCACGCTCTTACGTGTTTGGGTCAAAGTATATGGGACTCTTGCAAAGTGAAAGGGGGCAAAGCAAATAAAAAACACCCCCACAACCACAAAAACCTTTGCCTTGGTTCTGCGACTGGCTGCATGGCACCTGCTCTTTGATGCTTTGTAGGACTCATACACCTTTTTGCTGATGAACGTGTAGCACACCACCATCAGAGCAAGTGTGCCCCAGAAAATCACCTAAAACCAAGAGAACAATATAAAAAAAAGTTTGTCTCTCAAAATGTTCAGTTTAAAATTTAAAATTACATTTTTTGTCTTTTTTTTACCTGACAGAAGTAGTTAAAGCCCTCATGCCAAAGCAGCCCAGCCTTGCTCTTCATAGAGGTACACTTGAGCTTTCCTTCAAATATCTTGGGTGGCTGGTCACTTAGAATGACATTGGGCAGCGCTAGTGACAGCATCACTACCCACACCACTACACTGACTCCCTGGCCCACCCTGACCCGTTGCAGGGGGCACTTCCCAAACGGCCGCACAATCTTCAAGTAGCGGTCCAGGCTGATGAGACCCAGCAGGAGGATGCTGATGTACATGGTGATGTAGAAGAGAACAGCCGAGTATCTGCAGTGGAAAGCCCGCAGCTGCCAAGAGCCCACACCCGCGTCACTCAACACTCTCAGAGGAATGGTCAGTGTCATCAGCAGGTCAGCCACCACCTGCTCATACGGACACATAACAACCCTTTAGCTAGAATCTCTATCACACTTCAAAGCATTGGGCTTTCTACAGTATACAGAATAAGACTAAATATAATAGAAAATCTAGAGCAGGATTGAGATCTGAACTAAGAATAAAACTACAATACTGTAACGTTACTAATGTAATGTATAATTTGGATAAATCACATAAGTCTTTGTCCATTCAAATGATTTTCTCTCACCACATTTTTTAGAAAGACCACAAATGTAGATGTGCTGGGGATGCCAAAGAAGATCCAAGCAGCCAAGGAATTTAAGACCAAGGCAACGATGAAGAGGAGGCTATACAGGCAGGGAAACACCACGGCCGTCACACTGGTGTCCCGGTCACATTTGATGGACAGGTTGGAAAGAGAGGTATTCATCTTTGGAATCTTCAAACACAAAACAGGAAATTTAGACTGCTTGATTATGTAAAATTTGTAATAATAACAATTAGTTTTGTCATAATCAATAATAAATTTTTTGTAACAATTTTCTACATACTGTCAAAAGTGTAAGTAAAGATAAAGAATTATTATCAATTATCAGTAATATTTTGTGTTTCATGTTTTAATAGCCACCGCTGATTAGACGTGGCTTAGCTCCAGATCTTATGGGGCACAAAAAGCGCAGATAGTATTCAGATAGTAAATGTTTTGAGACGTTTTCTGATACCAACTGGCTATTAATATTTGGATGATAAAAATGTCACTAATGAAAAAAAAAATAAAAAATATATATATATCTATATCTATCTATATATATATATCTATATATCTATCTATCTATCTATCTATATATATATATATATATATTATATATATATATATATATATATATATATATATATATATATATATATATAATTTTTTTATTTAAAAAATGAAAAATATCTGTAAGGATAAAATTATAGACTAAAGTTTGCAGTGTTGAATTCAATGCATTAACTAGCTTTACTTTTTTACTCTCCTTGTGGTTATTTGCTAATTAGGTCCACTGCACAGGATGTAAACAGAGACTGAATACACAGGAGGTAGGTCTAAAGCATGTTGTGCATCTTGAATCTTAAGTGTAAATAAACAGCCTCAATATTACCAAATAGGAAAGAGTGTAAACGGAAGACGTAAAGTGCAAAACCTCCAAAAATATTAGAAAAATGTTAAGAAACTACTACTACTACTATTATTACTACTACTACTACTACTACTACTACTACTACTAAACTAAATAAATTCCCATGTGGATCATTAAAGTTTGTCTGTAGTAGTATGTCTAAACTACTACTACTGTATGCCAAGATGTGGACTTTTTAAATTCAAAACATTAAAGGGTAATTTAGTCTCAAAACTAACAGATCACATTGTAAATCTCAAATAAATTTCATCTTGTGGTTAGAAAAGCAATTGTTGCCACTAAACACTTATATTTTGTTGAAATTTATTGCAATTATTAAAGCATTTCTTACCTTCTTGCTGTTCTCTTGGTTTGTCCAATGTTATGCTAATAAAAAGTACAGTATTTCAAAAGCAGGAACTGTTTGAAGTGAACCACATCCACTTTCCACTGCAGCTCTTCTCACACTAACGGTAGTGCTCTTAATCTTTCACTAGCTCACTTTCACCCTCCCTTATTAAAATGTGTGTGTGTGCGTCTGTCTGTGTGTGTGTGTTTGATGCCCTTACAATAGCTGGTCTCTGGAGTTACTGTGTGGCTGTCTTGTCACAATCCCAAGGCGTTTGCCAGTCTTCCTCCACCGGTCAATGGTTCTTTCCTTCCTTGCTTCCTGTTCCAATTGTCTGCCGAGGGGCTTGTTCTGCTCCGTGCCAGTCCCCCTGCCTCCGCTCGTCTAATGTCAGTTTGTGTGTGAACCCATCAAACACTTCTGTTTTTCATGCCCTTCTTTTTATTAAGAAATAAAAATTGCAAGATGGTTGTGTCAGCTCACAGGTGGTTTCTAGTTCCTCATAGTAGGAACTGAACTCTAGCATATAAAATAAAAGTAAAATAAGCAATTATAAAAGGGGGCTGCCAAGTACTTTTTTGGGATGGGCAGATGTGAAATAATGTCTCTATAGTCCATATCATTCACAGTCTAATTGGTAAATGGTTGTTTTTTTGTTCATGTATTCCCATTGGTGAATTTTTGCTAAAAATACATCCATCTGAGAACAGCCCCATATAACTTCCTGTGTGATTTTGTTCAGTGTTGATGTGGCAATTTTGACATATGGGAATAAACAAAATAGAGAAATATACCATATCCCTGTGTAGCCCTTTTTAAATCACTTTTACATGACAATTAACATGACAGAAATAAATCTCAATATAAGTGAAGATGAATATATCATTTTTATTTACTACAAAACTTCACAAATACAAGACTTGCTCTTGAATGAATTTTAATATATCCAAGTCATCACAAAGCAGTGCTAAATTGTTTTGATATGTATTTTCTACAGTCTGCGCATCTTATATTCATATATTCATATTATATTAACATTCTTTTTGTGTATTTGTTACAGTGAGCTACCATAGGTTCCATTCTGATGACACCTTCATTTATCCATGCTGCGGATCTGCATAAGGATAACACTTGCTTGTCTGACCCCATGTGGCTGGACATCAATCTTCAAGACAAAAATAGGTACTTTTTGCCATGTAAATGGATAGGCTCACAGATAATGGGTTAAGATTTTCTAATAGGAAGTTATTATAAAATGAATTAGTGCTAATGTGATCATGAAACACATTTCCTAAAGGCATTTCCTATATCCATGTCTTGATCATGCATGGTCTGGCTTTGTAATGCAATAAGATAATAACAGCAAGACAAGCACATTTAACATAATCTTTTCTTTCCCTCTATCAAATTAACACAAATAACATAACAAATTTTACACACACCCAACAGTAATCTTATTTATATTCAACAACATGCACTGGAATTTAAAATGTAAATTGTATGTGTATTACAAGGAGACACTGTAAAGATGTCAAATATATTTTTCTTCTAATTACACTAGTCATACATTAATTTAATGTTGTTAATGTTCTCCTATTCACCAGCAGTATCTGGGAATATCCTCCTGAGTATGTTGTACAGGCAAGGCACATTGCTCAATAAAGACAACAATTTCTCATTGAACTCACGGCATAGAAACACATAGAGAAGTGGATCCAGGCAGATGTTGTTAGTGGCCAACCATAAACCAAATTCTTTGATAAACCATATATACGAACAGCCATAGTCAGAGTTTACCTGCTCAAAAGTATATGGGATCCTTATTATGTGATATGGGCCGAATGACACAAAAAAGACTACAAGCACCAAGAAGACCCGCAGCTTTATCTTCTGCTTCCCCTTGCTGTTGTTACTACCGGAGTTTCTAAATGACTGTATGACCTTATTTGTTATGCAAATGTAGCAAATGGCAACAATAACACTGACAACCCAGAAATAGACATTCAAGGATATGGTTAGATATGTATGGAAAACTAACCCAGCTGGAACTTTTGTGTCCATGCATGTCTCAATCACGGTTTCATTCCCGTCTTTGCTGCTCAAAATCATTGTTGATAATGCAGGGAAAACAAAAACTATCAGCCACACTGCTACTGATACAACTGAGGTCAGTATTACACTTTGACCGAACTTGTTCTGCGGAGTGACAATCTTGGTGAAACGATCCAAACTTATGAGACCTAAGAATGTGATGCTGGTGTATAATGCACCATAAAAAATGACACTGAAAAAGCGGCAGGAGAGGACGAATATTCGGTGTGATGCATTGGGAAGGTCACTCGCCGCTATGGCCGGGAGAGCGAGGGTCAGTATGAGGTCGGCACCAATGAGGTTTTTGAGATAGACTATGAATGTAGTGGTGGATTTGAGGTGTATAGAGACCCAGGCGGCCACACTGTTAAGCAGTAGAGCCACGGGGAACATAAAGAGGTAGAGGACAGAGAAGGGGTTATATTCTATGGTCTGACAGCTGGTGCGATTGAAGGTGTGGGTCAGTGACAGGGAGGCATCTAAAGGAGAGAACAGAGTATAAAGATAAACAATTACAGTTGCATGCTTATTTGGAGATGAATTTGTACTCACTTTGCTTGATGTGGTTGTCCATTTATTCTGACTCCTGGCTTTTGATCATGCAGTGAGCTGCAAAAATTTTAAAGATACACTAAGGATATGTCACTATTGAGTAGTAGTCTTAAAAGCAACAATAAAACTTTCTGACCCATTTTCAGATTCTTTACCTGCCAATGTTTTCATTATTTTTTCCCATTAACAGATGTCATATTTAAATCTGAATTATTCACTTTACGAGCCTAATACCTAAAGCCTATGAAGATACAGAATTATACACTTAATTTATACACTCCAGTCAAAGAAACCCTTAATGTAATCAAGTCCAAAAATTGTGTATTTACTATTAATATATACTGTTTGCTATTGGGAGTACAGATGTATATCATGAAAATTTATTAACTTACAGTTGAAGTCTCTATTGTGGCGTCCAAGTGCCCAGTGGCTGTGGCACTACAGTAATAGTCATGAGGAGGTATTTAAAACACAGTTGATTTTCATAGCAGACCCATCAGCTTTTCTGATTGTGTTAAATTCAGTGATAGATCACGACCTATGCAAACATAGGAAAAATCATGTTTATTGTAGGTGGCATGAGTAATGCCAGGGTTTTTTAGGTATTAGACATTTAGTGCCATATTATTCTGATGTGTTTCAGGAACAGTTGAAGGAACGTTCCTGTTTTAATTTGTTTTCTGTCATCACTGGAATTTTTTTATTATAATAATTTCAGTTAATGCAACTTTTAATTGAGATTATAATTTGGTCATTCTTAATTGTAAATGATTATCTTGGATCTTTTTAATCAAAAGGTAAACAGCCAATCCTCATTCAGTAGAAGCATGAGGTTTGGGGGCAGAATTCACTTTGGAGCAATACTTTTTATAAAGTTTTAATTATTAGAAGTAATTAGACTAGGCTAAATAGGCTAAAAGTGCACATTATTGCATCCAGACACTTGGCTGTGTTCAGCTGAGATATATTTTGGAATAAGAGCAACACCTACTTGTGCTCACTAGATGGCAGTAAAAGACAGAATGAACTACAAACTGTGAAACATGGGCTGATCAAAGACAGGACTCACGTTTCTGTATTTCAGAGAACATATGTTTCTGCTGCGGGCTGTTGCCTTTTTCTTCTATGCACCAGCCAAGAGAGATTCCCCCTCACCTTCATCATGTCAGCCAGTTTGTTTTTGTACTTCCTGCATAGGAAAATGTAGAGGAGGGGGTCCAGACACGCATTAGTGGTTGTGAGCCACAAGGACAGTGTGTAGACCAATTTTAACCAAACTTGAGTGCACACTCTCACCTCATAGACCTCCTGTAGAGTGAAGGACCTACGCATAACGTGGAGAGGCACAAAGCAGACAAAAAACACCAGTAAGACCAGAAACACCCTCAGCTTAGTTTTCTTCTTTCCTTGGCTGTTGTTGCTTCCAGAATTTCTGAACACTTTCACTGTGATGAATATGTAGCAAAAGACAATCAATGAACACATGAACCAGAATACAGTCTGCATTGTTGCCACTACGTAGCCATGGAGGATCAACCCATCTGGGCTTTTCAGTTCCATGCAGCAGTCCTTTGACATGTTAGCAGGTGGGGTTTGACTTGTTAGGATCATACTTGGAAAGCATGTGCCCCCGAAGAGGAGAAACCAGACCAAATAGGACATGACTTTGCTGAATACAACATTTTTCCCTACGCTTTTTCCACAGAGTTTCACTATTTTAAAAAAGCGATCAAGGCTTATCAGACCCATCAGTATTATGCTTGTGTACAGCAAACAGTAGAATACCACATCAGAGTAACGACAAGTAAAGACCCGAAGTCCCACTGTGATCCCAGGCTGTGAGCTCGCCGCCATCAATGGAAGGGACAAGGTTATCAGGAAGTCAGCAGCCACCAGGTTTTTCAGATAAACTATGAAGGTAGATGTAGATTTCAGGTGTAAGGAGATCCAAAAGGCGATCCCATTCAAGACAAGTGCACAGGGAAACACAAGTAAAAACAGGTTGGACAATGCGATGTTCAAAGTAGTGTCCTCAGAGTTGGTACATTGGGGTGCAGGAGAAAAGGAGTTGGAAGATGTTGGGTGAATGGTAGAAGTATTAAAGGATGCCATTGTGAAATCTAAAAACAGATTAGGGAGCTATGTCAGATTAAAGATGGTACTGGACTCACAATAGTGTAGGACTGTGATTGTTGTATTATATGGTTAAATAATATGAAAAGTGCCTCTCACTGAAAATGGGGCTAATGCAAATGTATCTGACATTAAAGGCTAAAGTTTTCAAAAGCTATATGTTTTGTTAGATGTTGATGAGTTTACCTGATCCTGATATTTGTTTGTGTCATTTGTAACTTTGACGTAGTTTTGAATTGACTAGCACCAGAGCATTTGCATACACCTGAAACTGAGTGGTGAATTTGACACTTCCAGGCATTGGTAAATGACATGTTATGTAAATGTTATGTGAAGTTATGTAAATGTTGCCATTTCTCTTTACTTCTGGCAGTTAAAAAGAAACAATTTCCCAGATTATTTCAGCACATTTTGAACTATCTAAAAGTTGTCATCAACTTCTGCATTTCACTTCAACAAAATGTGAGCAGATTCATCATTAACATAACTCCTCTATATATGCTCCTCAGTAAAGACATTTTTTTTTTACTAAGGTTAAGTACAGGTAGATGTTACTTTAAATTTAACAAATATAAAATAAACCAGAAACATGTTAAGTGCCTCATTGACATGCAGATTCACATGATAAAGCTTTGTATATTCAAGTCTGATGAAATGTATGTGAATTAAAGTAAACCATTAAACAAATGCTAGACCACTCACTAATTGTCTATAGTCAGTCAATATGAATTGATATCTACTCACCAAAATAGGTTCGATGTCACACCATGCGGACGACTGAAGGATCAGACACTGCGGTGTAATGGGCTCTTAAACCAGGGAGATGCAAATGTGACAATGAGTGATGGCAGCAGGGACCTGTGTCTTTGTGAGTGTTTTTTTCCTTTGAAACTGAGAAAAAACAAACATGCTTGCTGTAGTTTTATTGATGTTGGCTGGAGACATCACAGTCTGATTTTATAATTGCACAAGTCAAATTTGTTTGGATTGATTTGGCTCAGGATTTTATAATGTAAAAACTCAGCACAACAAAATCTGTCTGTAGAAGTTTATTTTCCATTTCAGATTTCATAAAAGATGATTGGTGAAAGACAAAGCCTGTTTCTGTTCCATATCGTATTAAGTTCTTTCCATTACTGACAACCTCTGCAGTAGATCAATAATCTTGGCAGCCAAACCTGACCTGCCAAGGCAAGACTTAGACATAGAGCTCCAGTGCACATGTTGTGAATTATTATTCATATCAGTTTTTTTTATGTTCATAAGCCATTTCATATACAGCATGTATTTTATAGTGGTAAAGCATAAAGTGATAGCAAAAGATGAACTCTTCCTTTAGGTAAAACAAAGTGAAAAAAACTTCATGCCTTGTGTACAATAACTCCCACTTATTCTACAAACTTATCATACATTTGCATAGTGCATGGTGAGAGCAACATTCTAACCACCTGTTCATTCCTATTAGTTATGCTCCCACCTTCTGTTATGTATTACTGGAAATCTGACCCCACCTCCACAGTTCTTGCTTGGGACACATTTGATAATAACATTTCCAACATCTGAAGACTAAGAGCTTCCCACAGAGAAGCATATTTGGAGATGCTCTAACACACTTAGATTGCCATCACAATGTGGCACTTACACAATTAGCTTGTGTAATATTGACAAGCTAAACTTAACATAACATTTCCCCTGTCAGAGCTCATACACCTGATTAGTGTAAATCTCACAGGTGACTCTATGTTTGATTAATAGGTGCCTTTTAGCAATAGATTTACGGTTAAAGGAAACCTGAATTAACAGTCTCTTACATGACTGCACTTGAATCCATGTAAGCAGAACTTCTTCCTGTGAGCCTGCTACATGTACCGAGAGGCAAACGCAAGCTTTTGAACAACTTAGTTCTGAATGATTTGCACAGAAAGAAGTAGAGGAGGGGGTCCAGAACAGAGTTAAGAGATGACAGGAAAAGCATACTCTCCTTCAGCTGATAAAGTTGAAGTTTCTGTTGGCAATCAAACTTATCCACCCTTGTTTGGCTGATTGTGTATGGCACCCTGGCAAAGTGGAATGGCACAAAGCACACGAAGAATACTACCAAGACTAAGAACACTTTTGGATTCATTATTCTTTTGGTGCGATGAGATTTGGGAGCCATGCCACTGAGACCCTGTGCATTCTCTCCTTCACTTTGTTGGTGACTCTTGGTGCGAGCGTACGACCTGTACAACTCTTTGGAGATGAGGGTATAGCAAATCATCACTGTGGCTAAGTTGCCCCAGAATATCACCTGACAGATATGGTTAACCACCTCGTGCCAATATAGACCAGCTGGTGTCTTGAGGTCACTGCATTTGAAGTAATGAGATTTTGGAGTTTTCTTAGTTAGAATGACATTGGGTAGGCAGAGAATCAATAATGCAGTCCATATGAAGCCTGACAGAATTTTGCGCCTGGCTAAGCGGGCTGTATTTGTGCCCCGAAATGGTGTCAGTGTTTTTCTGCAGCGGTCGATGCTGATGAGGCCGAAGAACAGGATGCTGATGTACATCGTGAGGTAAAAGAGGACAGATGAGACACGACATACGAAAACCCGAAGCCCAGTGGAGGCCATGTTGGAGTCAGACAGCACCTGCATGGACAAAAGGGATACACTCTTTTTGTAAACTTATTATTGGCCTATGACTGCACAATGGAAACTGATATGTGATACTGGAAATATTAACATTTGACCAAGATAACGTAATGCATTACTATAGTTTTATAAATAAATTTCAGAGAGTCAGAGGTTTACTCATCCATGTTGCCTCCTATCCAGCCCCCCGATATAAAATAAAATAAAACTACTTAATTGTGTCCCTAATCAAGATTTACAATAAACAAACATTTTTCATTCATTAAAAGACTTCTGCTAATGCCTTGGCATTGCTAAAACTTGTGCAATCTATATTTATGTTCTTACCTTAAAGGGAAAAGTGAAAGTCATGATGACATCTGCTACCACAATATTTTTGAGATAAATATTTTTGAGATAAATGATGAAATGAGACATGGAGGGGATACGAAGGAACACCCACATGGCCACGCCATTGAGTGTAAGTCCCACCAGGAACAGGAGCGAATACAGGACAGGTAAAATTACAGTCTTCAGGACGTTGTCACGGGAACAGGTGTAGTTCATGTGGCTATGGTTACCAGGGGAAATAGGGAAAGTTGTGTTCGTGTCCATGATAAGAGCTGCATGGAAAATAAATGTGTTCTAACAAGTAATTTAAACAGACAAAACAGTAATGTCTTTATATTAATTAGTAATTTATTACAGTAAAGTCTGTCGATAGCATATTTATTCCCGCTGAATGTTCATACCATCAGTTTTTGATATATTTATGAACTTTTTATTTCTACTTTTAGCCAACCTGAACCATAGATATTGATTTTTTACTATAAATATTAAACTATAATTGCGCCTACATTACAATTACTATATAGATTAAAATAAACTTAATTGAGAATGTTCCCTTACCTGCTATTGTGAACTCTCCTGCTGTTCTGAGTGCACTTCTGTGAACTGTTGGTTTTAGTAGGCTGAAGTGCAGGGACATGGCAGCAGCCTATTGCTTAAATTTGATCTTCTCCTTTCTCTTTCCTGACTTGACTAAGTCTGCACCCTCACTCAGATTTGTTCTTGAGTTCATTCATAAAGCATTTAGGATTGGATAACACATGATACAGTTTACATGTGCAAAAATTTCAACAATAAAAAAAAATCTTGATGATATTGAAACTGAATTGAATTAAAGAGACATATTATGCAAAATCAACTTTTATGAGATTTTAACCACATTATAATGGTTTGTCCTTATTAGCTCACAGAGTTATTTTTTGAGTGATCCATTTTTAGTTTTAGTAATTTTGCATGGCCCTGCATTTGTGTCTTGAGTACCCAGAATATTTCTGTGTTCACCTGTCTCCACTCACAGGTGCAGCAACTTTATAATTTACAATAAAAACACAAATTAAATTTGTTGCTTACTACAGCAGAAAAAAAAAAAAAAAAAAAAAAAAAAACTACTATGAGGAGGGGGAGCCTAAGTCCTAAATTCTGCAACTTGAACATGAAGTCACTATCATGAAGCCTATCTCTATTATTAAGCCAGTTGGCATCAATATTGTGGTTTAGGTTTACAATAAACAAGCTGTGAAATAATGATCTACATAGTTCAATCCCAAGCAACTGAAATAAAGCATAATATGACTTCTTTAAGAATGATATACAATAGGTTCAACTAACAACAGCCTAAATAGTCACATTATTACTGCTTCTGCTACTATACATTACAAGCATTGTTTGCTGCATGATTGATTTCTGAAACTCTGTTTTCAGTTCATCTTTTATATGAAATATACTGTCACTTCTCAACTCCTACATGTTGTGCCATTTTGACTGACAGCAGTTTTGTGTCTGTGACAGAGGCACCGCCAGTGTCAGCAAGATTCACTTCCCAGCTGTCTGCCAGCATGTTTACAGATTATGCAGGAGCTGGGATGTTGTTACAGTAAATACAGTGAGTGCAGTGCCTTGGTTAGGGATTTGGTTTTCCTCAGAACCATATGGTTATTGGAATTGTGAAGTTGTGTGACTGAAAAGAGAAGTAGTTAGTTGTGTTTGTGTCTGTGGATGTTTAGGGGTTTTCTACTAAAAAAGAGAACAAAAAACAAAAACAAATTTTCAACAGTGGTGAAGCTACAAAATAAAAGAAATGTACTAAAAAAACTATCAGATTAAAGTAACACTGTTAATGAGAAGGAAAAAAATGTAAATAATAGAAGAATAATCCAATCTTCAGCAGTGTCTGAAACAGTATTGTAATGTCTTTGCTCAAATGACTCCCCGATCTCACCCAATAAGTGCTTATGGATCTTCTTCATCCATCCTCACACCACCCTTTGACCTTTTAGTTTTCACTGTCACTTCAGCTAAATTTGAGAGAGTCTGAGCACCTTCACATCCTGTCAGCAAATGGCTCTCAGCACTCAGGTTGTGCTTTAGGCAACATAATAGGTCTTTGAAAAGCTTTTATCACAACACCGAGCACAGGGTTAAGGAAAGGGTGACGCCATGTTTGAGGGTCAAGCTAAAACAGTCACTCTAACAGCTGAGTGGGCTCAAGAATGAACTTTGACCCCTGGGACCACAGATCATGTTGTGGCAGGTCGCATGCACTTATTTACAGAGATGGATATCCAAATACAACATCCAGGGTGGCCTTTGCATGTTGCTTGTTTGTGGCTGTCTTCACTTGTGATTGATCATGTCTGGGCTGTACAAGCTGTTTGGAAGTCTTTTGAGTTCCTAATAGTGCAGCCGTTTGCTAAAATGTGCCCGCCACTTTGTTTTCACAGTGTAAGGTTTCTGTAGCTACTTCTGTCTGCCCAATGCAGCCTACTGTAAGAGCCATGGTCTGTCTCCCATACGCTGTAGACATAAATCTGACAAATAGAAAACAGACTGTAGTTTGGAAAAGTGGAAATAAGGAAAGAAAGGAGCTGCTTTGAACTTTGAGGTTACATTAAAGATAATCTGCTATCCTTTTATTTAGATGTATGTTCACCAGAAACACAGTACAATTATTTCAACTTATTTTTTATTAATCTTGTAGCCTAGATTTTAGTCTTGAGTCTTGATATTTTTGTTAACTGCAAGGCTATTATCTGCACACAAAAAATAAAAAACATTGGCTACAAGAAGGCACTACAAACATTCCTAACTCAAATGTTCCCAAATGGCTATATAATAAACTGTTTTTGAAACCCATATTATGTGAAAAGATTGTGAAAATCACTTGCTCCTGTCTCCTACATTGAGCAAGCTCCAAGCAGGGTATCTTGTGTTTGAATTGGAAAAATGTGTTTGTTTTTGTGCTTTGCTGACTCATGTAAAAGCAGTTTTCCCTCATTTGCCCCACGTGTCCAGAAGTGGAGTGCTTTTTATCGTCTGCATCTAATCTGCCCACGTCCAACAGGCTCCTGAAACTGAGAACAGTGTTTTTCATTTCATCTTTAACGTCGCCCTAGTAACTGCATCTGTTTGGGATACTGCTCTGAATCAGCTTTCATCTGGTCTACACATTAGCAGACAACCTCTCAAACTCTGCCTCCACCTACTCACAAAGGCCCTGTTCCATGACGCGAGGCTGTCTTTCACTCAAGATTTTTTTGTAACAGGCTGCAAAGTAATCACACTGGGGAAACATATTTTTGGTTTTATTTCCAATGCTCCTGACATGTGCCAACAGCAACATTCTTCACAGGTAGTGTTGATGTTTGTCTGATATTCCCTCATCTCTCTGTTGGAGGGAGCAGAGTGCTGAGAGGTGGCATAATAAATGGAAACTCGAAGGACAACAGCATCTTTGAAAGTTCTTCAGGTGGCAGGATACCATACATATTTGACATGGCATTGCTGTATGCTCAGTGGAGCAAATATGATAGGCAAGAAGTGTCAATCTGCACTGAGGCCAGATTGACACCTCTTGGCTATAATGTGAGGGCTGTTCAAACTGTAACACATTTGGAAATCAATATACAATTTATCATGACAGGCCTAGTTGATCATGTGTTTAATACAAAGCACAGGCATTTTGATTTCAAAACATTCCTTTCTGATAATGATGTTAACATTAGGGCCGGGCACGTTAACTCGTTAATTTTGTGTTAACTAATTAATTCATTATCACCAACAATTATTTTAAAACCATTAACACAGTTTTTATTATTTATTTATTTTGTATTGTAAACATCTGTTTCTCACTGGCTTTTGTTTTTAAAAAGTCCACCGCGAGTGTTTCTTTAAGTTTCGTGTCTTTTCTTTACACTTTTTTCACTTTTTTCTGACCACGTGAGATGCAAAGTGTCCGAGCCTCCGTGTGCCGCGGCTTGGACTGGACCAGCCAAGGGCTCTGAGCTTCCGTGGGCTCCTAGCTCCGAACGGGCCATGGACTCTGTTTCACGGGTCTTTCTCTGTCTTCTTCTTCTTCCAGACACCCCTGAGGTGTCCAAATAGAGGTGTCCAGTGTGTTTTTTTTGTCGCTGCGGTCTCACTTACATGATGCTATTACAGGGTATTCGCAAAGACCCGGAAGATTTCATGATATGATCTCACCCATAACTCAGTCACTGATTTATCCAGATTCCATTGGAAGAAAAATTGTGATTGGTCCATTTCCATTCCATTATATTAACCCTTTGTTTCCCAAGAAATATCAGTCCAAGTTTATAACAATGATCTAGAAATTATTACTAGTGAATAAAAAATATTGAAAAAAATATATTAGTAGTACAAAAATTCATTCAAAATTTTGTCTTGAGCCTTCAGAATACCTTGAAGGCTCTGAGGGTTCCCCTCTGAAAGAAATGCTGTTTGCACAACAAATGTATGGCTCTTTCATTTACATTTCCAATAAAAGTGCACTATACGCTACTTTTTAATTCATTAATTGGTTTTGTGTATAACATGCGATTAACTCAAACTCATGCGATTAATGCGATTAAAATTTTTGATTTTTGTCCAGCCCTAATATTAACACAAGACAGCAATGTAACCCTTTTTGCTGGGTCACACTGGTCAAACTGTTGCTGCTTTCAAAAGATGACATTACCCTCAAGACTGTCTAAGCAGGGCTCTTGGTTGTTGTTGTAAAGGAGTCTGTATTTCTTTTTATAGCATTTTCTAATTAATATTTACAAATTCCTCTAGTGTAAAACCATACAGGGCACCATATTTTGTAAAGTCAAACATCTTAATTTGTGCACTGAATCCAATTCAAATGGCCAGCTGTATTTGCTGACGGTGTATTTTGGCTCACTGACCTCCTTTGGACTATTTCCCCTTTTGCAGCTCCCCTGGCACATCCATAACACTTATTTTTACTGCCTCATCAGCGTAGTTGAAAACAGACTCCTGCAGAAGCTCAACTTGCTAAAAGAGCAATGCCACATTGTTTTTGCTGGTTAATTGGGTGAGCTGGCTTGTTTTAAACCATACCACCCTTAGGGATGTGGCCAATTACAAGCACTTTGATGTCAGAAGCTTGACATTAGTTTTGATGGAGGTTAGGTATACAGTAGTGGGCTAGAACTGTCCACCCAAAGACTCCTCAAGACCCATGACCACATCTGCTGCCAATTACTTTAGGGCTCCCCCGCTGCCACAGTTCCACTGGCCCCAAAGCACAAACCGAAAAATATTGCCCTATAAAATGTATATTCTAAAGCCTTTTTATGTAGCGATAATCCATATAATATGTCTGCTCTGTGATATTTGTACTCTTCAAGTTTTCCTTAATGCTAATGCATTTTTATGAACGGTCTGGGCTAATGCATGCAGTGCAATGGATTTAATCTTTGCTTATATGACTATTTTTATTGCTTCAAATTAGCAATAATAATGGCATTATTTAGATTCTGTTCAAGGAACTTGAGAATCTCTCCTGGTAGGGATGTGCAAAGATGAATGTATTTTACTTGCGGTTGGAAGGTCAAGGTGAGGATTCTGTAACTGTAGTGTAAAATTTCAACATTCCCGCAGACACCAGGCACGATCTACTGTATTTAGAGTATTAGAAGAAGTGGTGTATGATATTCAAAACAATCTCCCCATTGAACTACTTGCATCCTGTGGATCTTACATGTTCCCAAGGTTGTAACTTTTTAAAACAAGAATGCCTCTTAGGGCTATAGCCTAATGCCGCATTATTCTTCACTATGGTGGTCAAGTTTAGAAACATACCACAGACCAAAACTATGTCTCACCTTTCACTGGTTTCCTCTGTCTGACCACATGCACAGACTTAATTTCCTCTGTTTTTCCTCTTTTCAGTTCCCTTTCATGGATCTGTTATATATGCAAAGGGTCTGTGTGGTTGTCACATAGAAAAAAATATGCATCCAATCTAGACTGGCAGTGTTGATCTCTAGAGAACAATAGAATGATTCAACTTTGAAACCAAAATGTTTTTATTTGTTGAAGTAAAATATGTTTTTCATTGAGTGTGAATGTAACTATCAAATGAAAGAAATGTAATGGCCTATGTGAGCTATACTCACACCCAATGTCAGTTAAGCTCATTTTCATAACAAGAACAAAAAGACTGAAGACAGAAGCAGCATTGTGGCCATAATTAGTCAATAAAGAGGTGTATTTGTCAAGGCAATTAAATCACTTTTAAGTGGTGTACACTGGGGATTCGACTGTTGGACTGATTTGGTCTGGTGCACATGTTGTTTTTACAGTCCCGGGCCAGGTTAGTATGACATGATTCTGACAGAACAACCCTGTGTCAGCCTTGTAGTACCATTTGTAATGAAATGAAGTAGGCTAAACAATGCAGTTACTTTTACTACTACCATTTATCACAAAATCAAAACCTACAAAATTAAGCTTTGGGGAAAACGTTTTTCAGTGAAAGGCCATATGTATAATGACTTCCATGTTAAGTAAACAATAAAAGGCTTAGTTTGCATATGAGTGTCCTTTAGTTCACATGTGCAACTGGTTTTCTGTCAAATCACAACGCAAGCTGCCCACATTCCAAAGTTTATGGAAGAGAATTCCCTCTTTCCCCATATCCGTCTTATAGATATTACACGGCTGCCTCCTCTGTCTCCGTCTTTGGTCTGAGGAGTTTATGCGTTGTCAGTTCCTGTAAACTACTGGTTGTTGCTGTTAAACAGTTTTAATCATGGGGTTCTTAAGGTCACTCTTTATTTAAAGTAACAGACAGTGGTACCACACAGAGGCCCTTTAATTCCACACTGACAACATCCTTTTAACCCTCATATCCCTTCAATTAGCAAGTGGCCAATACACCAGTACAAAATGACAATAAATAATGTTGGAAAACTGCAATGTTTACTTTTTTTAATATAATCAAGATCATAATCAAAATGTAACTTAACTGGGTCTGTGACAAGTAAAGCTAAATCCAGCATTTCCTAACATAATTTACAAGAACATAAAAATCTTGTTTACAAATTGTGTACAAATAATCAATTTAGTCAAAACAAATTACAATAAAGTAGATACTACAAACAATAAACTGTATTATTACAGAGTAGCATAATGTATAACATTATTGACATATTTTGTGTACAACACAATGGATTGGTTTAAAGTACTATAGCTTAGAAAAACACTCCTTTTCACATGAAGACAACATTTAGAATATATCCAGTGTAATTTTGCATAATATATTTTTATTCATGGAGATATTTTTTTTTTTTCACAAACTGTTATTTTTTTCTGAATTAGTAGAATCACTTTATCAGTCAATAATACATTATTGTTGATAAAAGAAATGCTAAAAGTCATTGTAAAAGACTCAGAACATACAAAAATGTTATAACAGTCTGAATTTATGTGTCATGTATCAAAGTACATGCACATATGTGGCCTTGGCATCAGTTCCCAGATAGTTCTGGGCCAGACACTTGTAAGTGCCAGAGTCTGAGAGGGTGGGCCTCTGTATGATGAGTGTGCCCTGTGGATGGAGCAGCTCACTGCCTGTGGGCCGGCCCTGCTCTGCTGCAGACAGCAGTGAATGATCCGGCAGCTCCCATGTGATCTCTGCTTTAGGGATCCCCACAGCCACACAGTGCAGCTGCAGTGGAGCCCCTCTGATGGCCCGCACTGAGGCTGGGGGTCCTGTGGTGATCCGTGGAGGGTATGCGATAATGAGCACAGGCACTGTGAGCACAGCCTCCCCTGCCTCGTTCTGGGCTCTGCACACATAGCTCCCTCTGTCGTGGGCAGTGGTGTCCTGGATGATCAAAGTGCCGTTTTCCAGCAGATGATAGCGTCCTAAGACCTGAGGGCGAGCCAGCGTGTGCCCACCAGGAAGGATCCAGGAGATGCTGGGTCTGGGGTTTCCATCTGACAGGCAGTGAAGAAACAGAGGCTCACCAGATACACTGCGAATCATGCCTCTAGGCCTGGTCAAGATATAAGGCTTTTGTCCAACCTCCAGCAAAACTAACTTTTCAATGTAACCCATGTAATTTTTAGCGCCACATCTGTATTTCCCTGCATCCTCTTTTTGTGGACTGTAAATAACTAAACTTCCATCATTACTAAGTTGATGCCTGGAGATACGTCCTTGTATTTGATGAAATCTTGTACCATTGGGCAAAGTCCAGAAGATCTCTGGGGCTGGATGTCCACTGGCAGAGCAGTTCAGAACAACAGTTTTCCCAGTGTGAGACACAATGCGTTCATTAAAGGGGTTCTTAAAAATAGGCCTCTGCAGTGCACCTGTTACTTGAAGCTGAACCATCATAACTGCCTCCCCACCATCATTCCTCGCTATGCAGATAAACTCTGCAGTATCGGTTGGCCTCACATTTTTTATCTCTAATGTGCCATTATGATGGACATTAATTCTACTGCCAAAATAAGGAGCAGACAGGAAAATGTTATCAGGCATAATCCATGTGATGGTAGGTGTGGGGTCACCTTCAGCCTTACAGTCGATTAGTTTTCTGGAGTATTTAGCTGCAACATCTTTAATAACAGTTCTGTTTTGATTATAGCCATTGATCACTGGGAGGTTCCCATCTATTTCAACCTTATAAAACTTTCTACTCTCTCCAGCTGGGTTGCGAGCCATGCAGATATACTCCCCAACATCACCTAACTTCACATCCCTGATATCAAGAGAGCCATTGACGTGCACTAAGTAACGCTCATTTGATGCAGCTATCACATCTTTGGAGGGCAACATCCAGAGGATCTTGGGTTTGGGCTCTCCCACAGCATGGCAGTCCAGGCGCACATTCCCTCCAGGCTTCACTCGGGCCTGTGTCTGGACAGGTGTGTGTATATGTGGAGCTGCTGTCACCACAGTAATATGCACATGCATTTCATCTTTCCCCACCTGGTTCTCAGCATAACAGGTGTAATCTCCTCCCTCAGACATACCAACCTGAGGGAAAAAAACAAATAAGTTGTCACTATATATATATATATATATATATATACTATATATATACTATATATATATATATATATATATATATATATATATATATATATATATATATATATATATATATATATATATATATATATATATATATATATATATATATATTCATGTTTTAACAGACCTGATTAAGGTATAGGGTCCCATTGTCAAACAGAGTGTATCGGCGCGCTCTCCCCCCTCCACCTCCTCCACCTGTGCTGCTGCTGTCAGACTGGTAAACACTGTTGACCACTGTTCCATCTGGAAGTCCCCAGGAGATCTCTGGCTTTGGTGCTCCAGAGGCTTTGCAGTCCACCTTTAGGTCCTTCCCAAATGTCACCTGCTTTTTATCATGAAGCTTTGTTTCTATCTTGGCTGGCTTCATTGAAACCCTGACTCTTAAGAGCTGGAGGTCGTCACCAATTGTGTTTCTTGCCACACAGAGATATTCCCCCGCATCTTTATCACTTACAGAGTTGATTAGTAGTGTACCATTTTCAAGGACCTGCATTCTGCTTCCCATCCTAGAAAAGAAATGTAAAATTATTAAATTTTGGTTGTCCATTATTAACCATAAAAAAAAAAAAAAAAAAAAAAAAAAAATATATATATATATATATATATATAATTTACATAAAATTTTAAGAAATACAAAATATATTATGTCACCTACCTGTGCCAGTGATCCACCACAGCTTTCGAGGGTAGCCTCCATATGATCCTCGGGGTTGGCTCTCCTTTAGCTGTGCAGTTCAGGGTCAGCTGGTCTCCAAAGTAGAGTTCTGTGAGGCGCTGGGATATCTGCATTATTTGGGGCATGGTCTCATACTTCTCCACCATCAGTGTCACCACTCTGCGCTCTGAGCCAGTGGAGCTGGTGGCAATACACTCGTATTTGCCACTGTCTGACAGCAGTGCATCTTTAATATGGAGGGTGCCATTGCGGTGCACTGATATCCGAGAACCTTTGATTCCTCTGTTGGGTGGTATCACTGTGCCGTCGTATAGAACCCAGTGAATAGTGGGCTGGGGGCTGCCATGGCCAGTGCAGGGGAGCCATATACTTTGAGTAGCTGAGATGCTGATGACCTGACGTTTCTCTTCTAATATGCCTGGAGGGGCTGCCACCACCTGGAGTTTCACTGTGGCAGTATCTGCCCCAGCTGGATTACTGGCAATGCATTTATAGTGGCCTCTGTCATACACAGAGACCTGTTCAATGACTAAAGTGCCATGGTCGGTCACAGTCACTCTCCCCTGAGAATTCTGGCCTCTAACCTGGGTCCGGTTTGCCAGTATCCAGGTTATCATTGGAGCGGGTCTGCCTTCTGCTTTACAGTTTATTTCCACTCGATTTCCTGCATGAGATTTAAGCTCTCGTGTTTTGGGCTCCAAGATGCGTGATGGATAAGCCACTACAGACAGGGTTACTAGGAGTTTGTCTGATCCCTGATTATTTTCAGCTAGACAGAGATACTGGCCGCGATCTTTTATGTTGGTATTTTGTATTAGCAATGTTCCATTTCCAAGCACCTCAAATTTCCCTACTTTCCCCATGATAGTGAATGTGTTTCCTGGAAAAGAAAAAAAAACTGAATACAGTGAAAATATTGTTTTACATTTACTTTATATACTAATCTATGGAAGTGTAAGAAAATGGAATATTATAGTTTAAAATCTATACCTGTAATTGTTGAGAAGCGTCTCCAGCTGATGGTAGGTTGAGGGTTTCCAACAGCTTCACATGGCAGAAAGGCGTCTGAGTCTGACAGCACAGTGAAACTTGCTGCATTGCCTCCAATAATCCTGGGCTTGCTTGTCATCAGAATGGAGGTAGACCCAAGTGACACTGTATTCACAGTAGTAGGACTATAGCTGCTTGTAACAGAGTCCTTTGATACGCCATGGCTTTGGTAGGACGCAGGTGTGTTTGTGTGACCTTGCCCAGAGCTAATTGTACTTTTTGATGTTGGTCTTGTAATCTGTGGTCTATATGTAGTGACTTTTTGAGTTGGAGTAGTCTTATTTGGAACTCTATTAAAAACTGTTGTGTAAAAAGCCCTGGTTGGTGTTAATGTTGTGGAGTAAGTTCTAGCTGAAGTCGTTCTTGGAGCCTGGGTAGTAAACTTGGATGATCTACCTGATGTAAACACTGATTCTTGCACAGTATAGCTTGTACTTGGCGATTTTGTAGTCTCTTTGGGTAACTTTGTTGTTGTTGCTACTGTAGTTCTTGGTTGGTGAGTATGGTCTTTATTGGTGGGCCTTCTCCCTCTAACTGGCTTCCTTCTCCGCCCATGTTTGCCTTTTGTCCCAGTGGGTTTTTTTCTACCGAACCAATTATCAGGCAGTCCTCCAGAACCAGATATGACATCTTCATTTATGGCTGTAGGAGATTTAACAGTAGGGGGTGATGGCAATGTCTGTGATTCTGCTAGAGTTTGCGCTGTAGTTGAAGATTTTGAATAATATGATGCTGTGGTATATGTTTGATATCTTGGTTTATGTGTAGTGAACTCAAAATCGGCAGAAAATTCTCCAAAATCCTCATCTCCAGAGCTTTCCTTCACATGCGAGCGGGTTGGAGTAAACATTGTATTAGGTATAGCTATTGCATTTGCCTCGATGATAGGCACAGCCGCGGGGGTTGTAGTAGTAGTCGCAGTTGTTGTTTCAGCTGTGGTGGAAATGGTAGGCGTGATAGATGGTTTCCGAGTGTAGCTGCCTGTATTTTCTCTTCTCAATGGCCTGTTCCAAGACATTCTCCCATTAGTAGTAGTAGCAGACACCTCCTGGTTTGTGATCAGAACTGGGTCGATGGTGGGGGCAGATTCAGGTGCGTCAGCTGAAGTGATGTAGTCTCGTGTAGAAAGCAGTTCCCGGGGTCTAGCATGGGTGGGCTCTCTCAGAGGATTGTCACTGTTAGTGTTTGCGTATTGAACGCTGGTTGGTCTCTGAGCGGGAGAGGAGGTTGGTGTCAGAACCTGCACATCACGGACCGATGTTTTTGCCCCATCGTTGTCACACTCACATTCTGAAAACAAAAGTACATTTGAAGGTTTAATGACACATACATTTCATATTACAAATCTCTAAATCATTTTAGCTGAAATAATCTGTAAATAATGTAAATGTAAATAAATAATAATAATAATTTTCCCTAGCATAATTAAACAATATTTGTTAGGCCATACATATGGAAACATACAGTATGTATAAAAACGTAAGATTTCAAAACAAAGACAGATTTAGTAGGCTAATAGCTATTTAGAATTTATTCAGAAATAGATGCATGATCTATTCATGGCATTTAGAATAATGAAAAAATAGGGCTGTTGCCATAGATGTTAACAAATTGCTAAAGCTGAAACTCATGAATACAGCACTTTCATCTTTATCTGTTGGCTGCCCCAGTGTCAGAATGTACAATAATTATGGTTAAGAAGTAGAAAAAACAAAACATATACTTAAACAGAAACGAACATCAACTGATTTGACGAACGTCAAATCAGTCTCTCTCAACTAATTTAAAATGTTTTTTCTCTTCATTTGCATTTATATACTTGAATTAGTTTTCTCACCTGTAGTTACTTGAATGGTGTATGGCACTGTAGAATTGCCACCCTTCTTTGCTGTAGTCTGCTTCATTTTACTGATAAACGACTGTATATCTTTAATCCTGTTCGGCTTGACAATTCTTCTCCGTCCCTGGAAGAACTTTCTCCTTCCCCCTCCTTCGCCAACTCTTCCATTTTTATGTGGAATAATATGAATGTGTTGCCTGGATATGATAGTGGATCCGGAATGCAGGCTTGGAGATTTGATGGTTTGAGTGGTGTGGAAGGTGATCTCGTCTTGTTGCCTCTCTGTGGTGGTCACAGCGGTGAAGGTGGTCTGGTGGTCTGGATCTGTGGAGGTGTACATCACTGGCCCTGTTCCATCTCTCATTGGAGTAACATGAGGATCTGCTGTGAATGAAATAGCTGCTCCTGTAGCTGTTTCTGGATCTTCTAGTTGCTGGAAAGTAACTGGGTGCATGTTAAAGGCTACATTAGAAGTTTTCTCCAAAGTATAAACTTCAGTAGGTTCATTTAAAGTGGGAGAGTGTTTGTTTTGTAAAACTGTGACATATGGTGCCTTACTCTGACTCTCTGGGAAATATTTAAGTGTTACTGGATTGTTCCTCTGTGTAGATCTATGTTGAAAATATGATTCAGTTTTCTCCTTGTTGGAATTATCTGTGGTAAAATACTTGTCATCACTAATAAAAGTTCTTGTTTCTGATTTATCTGTTGTTGTTACATGTGTCCATTGGATTTGACTTTTTGGCTTAGTTGTAACTGGTTTGATTATCCGAGGAAGAATGAGATCATCTGGAGTCTCACCCGAACTGATTTCACCATCGCCAGAAAAATTACTAGACTCTGCAGGTTTAGCATTCTCTGTATTTGAGCCACCTTGTGTTCTTCCTTTCTTTTTAATGTTATTCATAAATTGTGCAAATCTTTCTGGGTCCAGTTTTTTGTATGACCTATCTAAAACTCTATTCCTGCTGGTGAAAGAACCTCTTCTTCTATGACCTAATCTACTGTGCAAGTGCTCCCTGTTCCTGGATCTAAGCGTGGGATAAGGCCGGTCTGACTTGATGGTCCTGGATTCTTGACTTGTTTTTTCGTATGTGCTGGAAGGATTCTCAATATTAACGTTGTCAATATCCCTATTGTCTAGAATCTCTATCCGATCCTGGTCCAAAACTGTTACTGCTTTATGTTCCTCTCCAGTCACCAATACATGTGATACTAACAGGTCAACTCCTAATTGATTGGATACTAAACACCTATAAAACCCTCTATCTCTTTTTGTGAGATGCTCTACCACTAGTGATCCATTTTCATAAACTTTTTTCTTGTCTTGCAGTGATTCAAATATGCTGTGATCAGGAAGAATCCATTTAATTGAAGGCTTAGGACTTCCTGACGCATCACATTCAAGTAACAGCCTTTCTCCCAGTGGCTTTGTCAGCTGGAGACCATTGATCTCAACTTCTTCAACATCAGGAGACAGAACAGCCAGTCTAAAGGTGAGAATGTCTGCGTCCAGGTAGTTAGTAGCAATACAATGATACAGTCCAATGTCAGAGGCATCCACTCCTCGGATGGTCAATTTTCCATCCGCAGAGATCAGGAGCCTCTTGTCCTCACTGCTGTAAGGAGCTCGCACCTTATTTCCATCTGGTAAAATCCACTCCATTATTGGTTTAGGCTCACCAACAACTTGACAGCTGAATTGGGCAACTCCACCTGTGTTGAAAATAAATATAAAATAAACTTTTAAAATAAACTAGATTTTTAAAATGTTATTATTATAAATTTGAGCTGATGGCATACAGTTTAAATTTCCCCTTCCAGTTCTGTTGAGACACGACATTTTATTGGTTTATTTTATGTTAAACCTACCTGTAACTGCAGTGTGCTGAGTCTTGGTCTGATTATCACGCTTGATCATGGTCCAAGAGTAGCCGTCTCTGTTAGTTTTTGTATTGTCCACCCGCAAACTGACCACAGACTGGTATTTGACATGCAGTGTGGAGAAGGTGGTAACTGTGCGATCTAGCTGTAAATTAATCTCTGGCTGCATCAGCAGGGCAGGACTAGCTTGGACCACAGCTTCAATATTTGTGTGAAAATCATCCTCTTCGTGCATAGGTTTTATCTGACTGTACCTATACTTTATTTCTGGGCTTTGGGCTGTCATTTGACCTCTTCTCAGCTGCATTGGAGACTCACTGTAAATGGCCAAGATCTGCCAAAGTTGCTGCATATGCTCATGATCAACATTACAGATCAAGTAAGTTGTCATGGTAACAGTGATGTGGTAAGAGCCATCTCCTCCTGAGGCCAGGGTCAAGTTTTCAGAAGCTGAGGGCCTCTGGACAGTGCAGGATAATCTGCCTTCATTGTGGAAATGATCTTTAAGGTCAATTTGAATTGAGCCTAAAGGTGCTATAAAGTCTCTGGGCCAAAGTTGAACATACTCTCCTTCATCCACAGTAATATTTTTGTGCTTAAGATGGGCTTGGATTGTAGGTCTGGTGCAGATGAAGGCATCGCTTGAGATAAGAGATAGGGGTTTGTTGTGATGGATGGAAGGATTTTGACAAACTGGACAAAGCTGTCCTCTCCGATCACGCTTGCACTTCAAAATACCTGAGAAAAGAGAAGTTATACTCGGTCATCTTCTTGGAGCATGGGATCATTCTTAAAGGGAATATTATCTGTGTTTTTATGTTTGTCATGCAAATAATTGGCCATGTTTTGAGTTTGCCTCTTCTGTTGCACAAATAAGATAGCCACAAGTGTTTGCTACATAACATTTCTAAGCTTTGTGCTTTTTGTGACAAATAAAACAAAAACCTCACCAACATTCATGATCCTCCATTTTGTGAACCATGCCATATGACAATCACAACTCCAAGGGTTGCCATGGAGGAATAGATTCTCTAGCTGGACAGAGGAAGGGAAAATGTCTGCAGGGAGGCTGGAGAGGAGGTTGTCTGACAAGTGGACGGTCTTCACAGAGGAGACTGCAAACAGCTGGTTATACCTCAGTGTAATAAATGTGTCTGGGTGAATCTGCTGAAGGTAGTTTCCTTCCAGGTTTACCAACTGTAGACTGGATAGGCCATAGAACGCATTTGGATGAATAAACTCTAGGTGGTTGTGGTCCAAGTGAAGTCTTATGACACTTTTTAGTCCTGTGAATGTCTCTTTGTTGATTTTCTTTAGTTTATTGTAGGACATCTTTAGAACCTGTAAAGGAACAGTCTGGTTTTATATATCTATATATATATCTATATCTATATCTATATCTATCTATCTATCTATCTATCTATCTATCTATCTATATATATATATATATATATATATATATATATATATATATATATATCTATCTATCTATCTATCTATCTATCTATATATATATATATATATATATATATATATATATATATATATATATATATATATAATATATATATATATATATATATATATATATATATATATAGGATGGTACTATTTCTTACCTGTAGGGATTTTAAATCTTTGAAAGCTCCATCTTCAATGTTATGGATGGTGTTACTATGCAGCATCAATAACTCCAACTTCTTGAGTCCAGTCAAGTCATTTTCTTTTAACATCATTATGCTGTTGTACCTAAACACATTAAACACAGTGGAATAATTTTTTAAATATCAAATAGACCTGAGGAGGTCACTCTAGAAGGAAAAGTGCTTGGATACTGGCCTGATCTACAGCAGAATCTAAGTTGCTAGTGGATCCGTAGGTTATAGATTTAACAATTTCTATGTAGCCTATTTTCAGTATTTTTGGGAATTGTATAGTTAGCTTTAGAAAAGTTGCCAATGCTGTCAAATAAAGATAGATGAGTCTTGTATTTTGTGATTACAGTAACAAGAGAAAGCTGCAGCTTACCCAAGGTTCATCTTTTCCACTGTTGGCAGGATGTGCTCAGGGACTGCGCTCAGGTATTTGAAGGTGCAGTGAACTTCGTTGGGGACATGGCAGGAGCAGGACTTAGGACAGCGTCCTCCCTCTGTTGTGGAGCATGCGGTCAGCAGCACGAGCAGAGTCCTCAACATCCCCCCCCATAGGTATGAGGCTCTCTCACTCATCTTAGACAGGGCAAGCACATATGAATTCCACCTGGACTCAAACAGACATCAGACATGTGCAATAACTTTCATGTTCAAGATATATTTACCATATATCCCAAATAGCTAGCACTCGATCATATTTATGTGAAAATCAGATTCCAACATTCTGTGTGTATATGTCCTGTTATTAAGATTATGTATTGTGTAAGATTATGTATTTTTTGACAACAAACAAAAACTGCTACGATTGTCTGATGTCTTAATGTCTGAATACTGATGTCTGACAACAATCACACAGACAGAACAAAAAACATATGAAAAACCTGTAAGACAAACTAACATTTACAAACTATGTAACAGTACAAACCAGTATAAATCAAAATACTATGAATTACAAGCAGTACTTGTATGATGCTTTCATATACTTATGGAAAGTAAATGGCTTAACATTATTTTTCCTATTTCTTACCTTAAATTATGAAAAGTGCAGTTATGTGATCCACTTGTGTTAAGTATTTCTCCAGATGAAACGTTAAGGTAAGTCCACTGTGTGAGACGGTCAGGGATGAGAGACATCTGAAAGTCTAAGCTTTAGCCCTCGGTTCTCTGGTCGCCCCCGCCCCCTGTAATGTGCTGAAACTCAACCCTGAAATAACCAGGGCTCTTTGAAAGAATAACTGGAACACACTTGTAGACCACCGCAGAATTAGGTTTTTGATTATCAAAAAACAAGTCTAGAATAAATACCCATAGTTATCTGATTTATTTGTCTTCACTATTCCTTGTAAATTACTTATTGCAGATTTATTGTACTCTAACCGTATATCAAATCCGTGCAGACATTTCTTCTACTTTATCCTTGCATGGGTCAGTTATGTTGACTGTCTTGTTCTTTTGCTTAGTTTGCGTACTCTTTTCCCATTAACTGTCACAGACCTTATATTCATAACCATTCATTGACAAACTGTGTTCATGAAGCAGAAACTATAAAAATGAGAAACCAGACCAGCTTTAAATCATACCATATGTGTTTTGACTCCCAAACTTACAAAGCTGCTGGTGTAATGTGCCTCACAGAGAGAATAAACAATAGCATTTTTAGAGACAACTCAGTGCAGTGTCAAATTTCATATATATTTATGGCACACAACTAAGGGGTGGCTCCGTAGTAAAAAAGTGGCTGCTTGGTGCATGTGCGAATGGGCATGTATTTTATTTGTATTTGTAAGTTGTTTCAAGGTGCAGGTAATGATGCCTAGTTTTGTAGCCTCTGTCGTCATTGTTTAAACATCTGGGCAACACAGTATTTACAAACAAACACAATATGGCTGTTATCTGTGGGTGATTTTTCTCCTCTCTAGATGAATATGAATGATTTGTTTTCTGAGGCAAAAGTTGTGTTGTTTTGACTAGGGGTGTCAAATTATCGCGTTAATTGCGATTAATTAATTACAGTCATATTTAGCGCGTTATGTTTTTTAATCGCGTTAATCTCATTTTTAATCTCTAACTTTACTGTTTCTGTATGCGAGTTGCTTTATTATAAAATCTGTTTTATGTGTTGTTGGGACAACAACACACACACACACACAAAAAACACATTGATTATTTTTTTATTTCGGTAATTCCACTCAATGCCGGAAACCCACAACAAAACGCGCGCAGTAAGAGCGATGCAAACGTCATGTTAACGTTTGCGGCGTCAGTCGCACAATGGACGAGGTGGAAGAGCCAGTAGAACAGAGGCAGCAGCGCACAGGTAAAAACACATTCGTGTCTTGGAAATTATTCTCCCGACGTGAAATATAAAAGAAAATAACAAATATAAAATCGACTACAACTTAAATGTCACTGGTGAAAACAACCTGCATAGACTCATGATGTCTGCACTACTGTCCTATAGTGACCTGCCACATGAGGGGACATGCACACAAACACACACAAACACACACAAACACAAACAAACACACACCTTCATCATCGTCATTAACCTGAGAACGCGCGGACCACGTTTCTTTCCGTAGTTACTGCGCGGACACCGACGTGCTCCCGTGCGCCGCGTACGTTTTCTCGCGTACGCGGCGTAAACCGCTCTTCCTCCTGTGCGCCTCTAAACCAGAACTAACACCAAGACTAAAACCGGGACTAACCCAGTCCAGGACTAAACCAGGGCTAAACCAGGACTAAAACAAGGACTAAAACCAGTGATCTCATATATAAAGCATTTCTCTATCAATAATATTTTAATATGGTTAAGGAAAGACTGGACTTTTTATTGTCTTTAAGTAGACAAAAGTTATTATGTTCAGATTTCTTATTCATGGAGACTTGGGCTCAACAGTCAATTTGGAGAGATTTGTTAAACAATAAATGACTTTATAAAGTCACTTTTTTTGTTCTATATCAGTCTTTTGATCTGCCACAATAATGTAATAATGAATTTAAATGAAAATACCTCAACTTGAAGGCTTTTCTCAGCATTTTTTAGGTGAGATTAAAATGAGATTAATTAGATTAATTAATTACAGATCATAATTAATTAATCTCTAAATTTTTTTAATCGCATGACAGCACTAGTTTTGACTAGATTGTATCTAACTATAATTCAGTGTGACCGAAGGACAAATGTCAGTTTTCAATATAACACTGTTTTTTCCTAAAGAATTGCTGGGTTGTGGCGTCTTCTCTGTTGTCTAAGTTTGCTGAAAAGATGTGGAGAGGTGAGGTTGCTTGTTAAAAGTCACAGTTAGCTGGTAGGCTTTGAGGAATCTGTAGACACACACAGCTTTGGCTTCACATCTCCACACACTCACTGTTCAGTTATGACTTGGGGCCCCTCTGTGGGAGGTGATTGACAGGAATAGGGCAGTTTGGAAATAATATCCACTTACATGAGGCCAAACTATTGTTGACATATTTTTCTTTCATGCTTATTTGTGTTTGTGTGTTAGGTTTAATATTCTCAATATTACAACATCATATTTTAGGCCTAAATTAAGCCATGTTTTTTATCTTTATTTTGTTTTTGTTGATACACAGTTTTATTAGTAAATAATTGAATTTGAAATAGCCCAATAACATAATTATTGCAATATTAAACACATTTATCGCATTCTTTACCCATATCATGCAGCTCTTTTTGTTTGGATGCACTTTATTGAATGATTAAATATTAAATGTCCTCTTTGCTTTAGCATCAGATTTTGTTCCAGATGGAAATGAGGTTGTTGCTGTAATCTATCATATTCACACTGTTCAAATGTTCATTAATATGCACCATCCCTATCAAATAAACCAATAAAGCCTTCACCATTTAGGCAGACTTTGTGTTGACCCAAGGCTACTATGTCTTATGAGCTTCTCTGGTTGAATATTTGGTGCATAATTGTGAAATTACTGTGACATTACTAATACAGGATTTTCAGCAATGCATTTGGTGATGGTTATTGGTTAGGGTTAGGTGGTGAGCTGAAATCGTGTAAGCAAACACCATAATCTTCTTTTTATATAATGTTCTTGATCTTGGGTCTCTTGTTTCCCAATAAAAGATGTCCCTAACAGCTTAACAGGTTCAAAAGAGCAGCAGGCCAGAGGTCTCTGTCAGTATTTGGAAAAGCCATGTTAACACGTGTGACCCCCCTTATTCATTTGTGACACACACTTCAACCTAGTGTGGAAAAAGTTGTGCTGTAGCCGAGGTCCCAGATGTTTGCAGTATAGTTTGAGGAGGATGCTTGTGTATTTGAATTTCTTATCAGACAGTGGCCTGCTATTGACCAGGTCAAAGTAATGACCAACTGAGAAACATGAAAGTATGTTGCTTTCTTGTTTAATCTGCTCGTAATGGCTTTCTGAACAGCTTGATAAATCATGTGTTTTAAATTACTGAGCATGTGTTCTGTTGGCAGTGGCTGGATACATTTAATATCTCAATTGTTGCCTGAACAACATATTCTTCCACTGCTCTCAATTATGATTTTATCATTCAATTCAACACATTGTTTTTACCTGAGTCTTATCATTGAGTTGGACAACAACTCCACACAATAACCATTGTCTGAAATATCACACAATACTGAAGGCTACTTGTAGTTCTATCAAACACCATTGCCCCTCTAATGTTAAGTTCAGAGGTCACAGACCATGTGCTTTTATGCTGCAGGAAATGTAATGCTGTGTAAGGGTCTATGGCATCTACCGGACAGAATGGTGCATCAGCCATCAAGTGTGCATTTAGTACATTTAGTACTGCGGTTCATACCACAGAACTTTCTAAACTGAAAGCAATAGCCTAATACTGTGTATGCCATGTATACTTTTTAGTGCCATTGTCTGGAGTTTGTAAGTGATTAACAATGACAAATACTGTATGTCAAAAAAATTATAATTTTCACAAATGATAATTAGACCCTGGTCCATTTGTTGTGGACTCATGACATTAGTGATTATGTATGTATATCTCTGCATGTTTGACTGGCTTCTGAAGTGTTTGTGAACATGTCCAAGTACATCAGGAACACAGATAAATGTGAACTTTTTGTTTGTCTATGTTTATCATCATGATTGTACCAGTCTTTCAACCTTTGACTGGACCTTTTTTTTGCAGTTCTTCAGCGATACTATATGTGTACATTATTTTTTCCAAAGGTTTGTTAGTACATGTGTAGTGTACAAAAAATATACTTTGGGAGAGTATATACTGGAAGATATTTTATTTCTAAAGATTTTCTTCAAAATGTGTTTAATGACAAATAATATAACAGTGATATTAACCATTGAATTACATTACCTACAATACATTACATTATCCTTTTCTATAATTACTTTAAGCATGTTGTAACACAGCTGCATATTAGGGTTGAAAATACTGCTGCCAAGAAATATTGCACCCCAAATACATGACCTCATCTTTGTGTTTTTGCTTTTTGTTAGATAGAGACATAGATAGAGAGAGGCATATTTTACATGCACTGTAAGACATACAATTACTACAACATGTCTCCTGCTCATTTCAAAATACAAAAATAAAAGATAATAGAATTCGCCCACTGACAGGGACAGCACTATGTTGTATAAAGGATGTGTGTGTGTGAATTTTCAAGACTCCACAGTCAAACTAAAAACTTGATTCCGAGTCTACGAAGAATGTAGTGTATCTTAACCCAATGTCCCCTCATTATTAGCTGACTCATCTTTTCTCAGTGATTTTTTTCTGGTGCACTATGTAACTTTTCTGGAGGAGGATCTGTCATCTACCTGCCATGGAGAGGTTATTGCTTT